GTAGTGCAAACTGTGTGGCTTCACTTCGCAGAGAGTACTAAGTTAGTTGTTGACTTTTCCCATAGAATCACACCTTTGCGTACTCAAAATATTTTGCAGAGAGTTAAACAGAGAAAATCGTGGAGGAACAATGCCAGGAGAATAGGCTGGGTGCTGGCGCATCTCCATTCTAACTGCATAAGTTGTTGCAATGTCGGTTGAGCGACATGCAGCCTAGTGTCCTCCGGGTGGAAGTTGGTGCCCTTTTCGCTTTAGCAAACTCGGAAGCTCCGCAAAGACGTCAACATTGACGTGTGTGACTTGTTGACAGTACTCTTGTGCAGTTAATGTTTGGGCGCGTGGAATAAGCTCGTAAGGAATTACTCGTCCGCAATCCTCCCACCAGGCACCTAACAGCACTTTGATAGGATGCAACTCAGCCGTTGCCTTGAAAACTGGTCTTTCACTTTAACGCTTCCAGCTTCCAGCTTCCATTTCCTATGATCCGGTCATGTGCGATTCATATTCCATTTCCAGTTGGGAGTTGATCCGAGAGCTGCTGGTCTTGTAGGTGGGTGAGGGAAGAAACGGCTGTGAAAACGCGGTTCCGTTAGTTGCATTCTGTCAAAGCATGCTGAATCCAAATGCATCAAATTGCGAACTGTGCCCAGGTTGCTTTAAACAACAAAATGCGATCAACGTGCCAGCATGTAGTCTCTCAGTAGCCTCGTCAGTGGTAACCAGTGGATTTGTGGCGACAATCGAGAGAGCACAGTTAGCAGGCGTAAGCGAACACAATTCATTTGATTTAGACTAATGCACTTCACTTTCTATAGTCATTCGGGAATCGAATTTTAACAAGACTATATTACTGATTCGTTATCTTGTCCAACACGCCTCTACTATATCAATAAATAATTTGAGCTACGCGCTATCTGCATTTCTACTCCTCTTTCGGTCAGGGCATGTAAGCGTAGATCGTTGGTCCTGGTGTGGTTCTCTAACCGCTTTGGGCCCCGTAACAGATTATTGTTCGCTAGATCACAGATCAAGTTGTGATCAATGCCGAGATGATTCCCAGGACGAAGTTTATTGCTTAGTTTGAAGTCAGCGTTCTGAACTCAGCCAAATCACTGGTACCTGGCTGGAGCACGATCCTAAAAAACGTCTTGGATTTATTTTATTGCAGTTTCGACACTTACTCCCTGTAAGAAACGTACATAGAGAAATTAAAACGTGTCATATTCTATTTGTAATATTGCTTTGGAATAAAAAATATTTACATCGACCTTTTATGGTTGTGCTGGTCCTCCGCGCATTTATGTAACTGTCGGTTAAGTAGTAGGCTTAAAAATAACCGCTAGTCCAGTCAAAAATGCATATGTCTGCCAACGTGACGATTGTGCGCGAACTTTTAAAAACACGAATTATTACATTTAAATAGCGATTAAGTGATGCCGATGAGTTACGGCTCTGCTCAGTTTATATTTTTCAGCTTTCACACTTCGTCTTCTGAGTAATGTGCATTTGGCAGTAGGAGAAATGAAGTCCTTAATGTGGATGGGTTCAGACCCACACTTACAATCTCCAGCACACACGGTAGGTGGACAAGTGAGCAACCAAAGTACCCCATGGTAAACACGACGCCTATTAAGTTAAGGACCGTGTTGTACATTAGCATGATAGTCGTGATCTAAATCTTAATCCATTAGTTAAATTGATAGCTTGCAGGCGGGTTATTACCTAAATTAGCATCAATTTTGGTCTTAAAATAGCAAACAAATTAAGTTTTGGCTAATTAAAGTCTGTTTCGTTAAAATTAATGCATTTTTAGGTTCATGGGCTTTTGGTTAACAGCATGCAGTAAATCTCCATGGTCAAGCACAATTACTACCACACACATGTCTCAATCTCGGTTTTATCCAAAGATAGATGATTTTGGCTCATTGGCATAAAACAGTTTCAGTTATAAAGTATTTGTTGTTACTCAAACCTCATTTAGTGTTTTCCTGTGGAACCACTGCCTGTTTTTTCTGTTTAGAATAAATAATCAGCCATAAAATATCACTTCTAACCTCTGAGATGATATCCAGTTTTATGTTATTTTTATAATCGAAAGCACTAAGCCTCTAAGTAGTTAAGCTGAACTTTGACTGATAAGAAACTGCATCAAGGTATTCTTTTACTATCTCCGTGGAAGAGTACACTTCAGCATTCACTAGAAGTAAACATGTAAAAAAAGCATAATAAACGCAAACGTATTTATGCCTATTTGGAAATAGTGCACTGAGACACGAAACACCCACTTCCATTTTCTGCGGGTCATAATTAACTGATCGGTGTAGTGGCGATCTACTAACTTTTGATGAAAGTTTCATTCCACTAGAGTCAATCAAAGAATGGAAAATGCCGGAGGGTACTCGAAAAAACTTAGGAACGAACCACTAGTGTCAGAAGGGAAAATCGAGTTACAGTTAGCAGGATTGCTGCAAATATGGTGTACCAACCTGAATAAGTCGTCATTGACACTCAATGTTGAGAGATAAGCTTTCAGTCCCAGAAGAAGGTGTGATAAAACAAGTAAATTTTCCTTAGATGCACATTTTATTGAAAGTTCAGGCCACAGTTGTTCTTTGGCTAGGCTTTCAGGTCCTTCGAAAATAATAAATTCATTTGCGAAATAAGGAGTCTCTAAGCGATCATCATCAAAACAAAGCGGCATTTCATTCAGAGTACTGAAAAATTTGGCTGGGATAATGATGTTTATAGGATTACCATTAATTAATGCAATTAAGGGAAATAGTTAAAGTCAAAACAGGTTTAAAACCCAAAGTTAGCGCTTTACGTCGCGCCTTTGCCTCAGTGACTGGTTACGCCTGACGAAATAGGCAGTTTTCTCGGAATCATCCTGAGTGCTCGTCGAGGTGCCCTGTGAACACGATTTTCCTACCGCATTTCATGGGCTTGCTGGCCGCACACTCGTGTTAGCAGCCAAGGCTGTCAATTTTACAGAAAAAAAATTTCGGCGACCCTTACAGTCTAGGCTCGTGCACAGAAGGTGATACTTAAGATCCATTCCTCTAAGTGTTACGACTCGATTATGGGCTGTGGGTTTTTATGGTCTATTCAAAATCTACTTGTGGTCTCCAGTTCTGACACGAGTTGTCCAGGTATAACGCAATACTGGAGTGGACTAGGTTATTATCCCAGTCGTCGAACAATCAAGGCAAACTGCTCGCAGACGCCTTACATAACGCACATTATTTAATTTCTTTTAAGTTCAAATCACATTGAATGCGTGACGATGTTTTGGTTAAGTAGAATAATTAGAGTTTGCTCATGATGTCTTTTACAAATAACTATGATTTAAAGTCAATTTATGCCCAAAACCATGGGAATTAATAGCCTAATTTAGTTCTATAATGAATGGTATTGTGCGTTTTTTTACTATCCTAAGACTACTATAAAGAGTCATTTTCGATGCCATTTGCATGGTTCAGAGCGGCAACAAATGATCGTAATCCAACATAATCTTTGCTGTCATTTGGGATTAATCGATGCTTCTACTTTTACCATAATCTGTTTTACTTGTTAATAGTAACAAGGGGTACATTTTTATTAACAGCTGGGTTATAAAATTTGAAAGTCAAACACGGTGCTTTGAGGCATCAGTTTACACTACCCAGTATGTTTCGGATGTGACAGTAGTCGTAAAAGATCTGCTGGCCATGTAGAAATTATCACCAGAATGTTTTTAAGGGATTTTCGAATAGCAATTAATTGTTTAAAAATGGCGGATTAATAACACGTGTCCAGTTGATACATACTCGAAGCACGTACCTTGGGAACTTAATAAACGACAAAGCAATAAACTCAAAGACAAACAAATGCAAACATTTAAAACAAAGTGGGAGACGATGACTGGTTCACTACACCAACTCCAAAATGCATCTCTTGTGGCGGAATTCAATTTTCCCAACAGTCTTCATCATTCACATAGTCCATCCAAAGTTACTCTAAAATGAGCACATTCTTATGTGCGGGGAAACGACTCATGTTTTTAACTAACTAGGTTTTCCAGAAGCCAAGCGAATGCTTATTTGAGTTGTGAGGCGTTTCGCTAAGCAGATTTCCACAGACAAAGGACCACTGCTAGCGATCACTTGTTTTGCTTCAACCAATCGCCTAAAGCTTAAAAACTGGAACTCCGTCGCTCCATGATGAGTTGAGGTTTGAGGAAGCCTGCCTCGAGTGGTAAAAAGGCAAGACAGGATTAAAGCTAATTTAAAATTGACAGCGGGAGACAATCAAGTTTACAAATCACACACACCAAGTGCCGATCAATATACTCTTGACACAAATCTATTTGATGCTGGAAATCAGCTCACCTAGTTTAAACTTACGGTTCATTACCGACCGAGAAGCCAACCGAGGGTTTGTTAGAGTGGTTTTCTGTATTTTAATAACCTCCAGGTAACTTAAGAATGTACAAATCACTGTTTTTTTACTGAAAATTAATCAACTTTCACATGATGTAAAATGCAGGGTTGTAAGGTTGTTTTGTTTTACCACACGTCTCATAAATACCCTTTGTTCTAGAAAGCAAACTTTCAATGTACAAGGTGAATTCGTTTCAGGCACCTGGACTACATATATTAGTATCAAGAGGGTAGTAATAAGTGGGGGAGTGTGAATTATCACGCCATTGGCAAGCAATGAATTTGCGCAACGATTCACCTCTGTGGGGCAAAACGCTTCAAAGGTAAACCCAAGACTGCACACACACACACCCCGTATGCGGGGGGCAGCACAAGCCCCGCTCAAGCGGGCGGCAGGCGATGCATCGCTGAGGTCATCCACATTATCCGAACGTATACAGATGGGCACTGTGTTAATCAAAAACCCACGAAAATGGCTGTTTTTTTCTGCAATAGGAAGGCAAGTGTTTGAATTGGCTTTTTAGCGTGAAATAAATATGACATGGGATCATCGATGCGCCGTTGAAAAAAAAAGTTAAAAGTTTACAGTTCGTTTTTGAAGGGAGGTGTGTGGATGGTGTAGAGGGGCTCCGGAACAATGGACCAGGGTGTGAGACCTTCGCAGTCGGTTCGCTTCCTCCAGTCGTCGTACATTACAACATCGCTACCGGGAACAGCACAAAAAGCATTGTAGGTAGAGGATGGGTGGAAACCCATTATTTCACGTTCCTCGACAATTCGGAAAGTAAATGTAGATGGTGACGATCCAACAAAAAGCCTGGAATAAGAAATATTAGATGGTAGATGGGCGATGTGAGTGGCAGGACATGTGCATATTTTGTTTTTGCGATTAATAAAAGTCCCATCGCCACCATCTCTTACAAACACATCACCTTCCAAGCACTAAGGTTCAAAACTGGCTCCAGCAATCCATGAGAGATTTCATCACAAGAAAGGAAATTTGCTGTGAATTTATATACTGTTTCGCCACCTGTCGATCCTCGTAAGGACGCAATTTTAGCATTGCATAAAGCAGCACAACCCATGTCTATCACTTACATAAGCGATTTCCACATGACAGTTTTAAACACTATCAAAAGTTTCCGCGAACCAAGTTATCTAGACCTGTTACATCTCAAACTCAGATCACTAATCTGGAGATAGAGAGCTTCGACCGATGATAAAGACCGACGCTGTAGAAACGCGCAATTACTTGCTTGCAAGAAGGCTTTTTCTAGATGTACTGAGGGCAGCGACTACATGCGCTAGATCGTGGAATAAACAAAAGAGATCCATTCGTGCAGAAACACAAACCCTGGACGTGTTGAAGTTAAATAACAAAAACATTCGTAGGTATTATTGAGGAACACGAAATTGAAACCGAAAAAAACAAAATGGGGATTTGTGATTAATAACCTTCAGAAAGATCATAAAAATAATTTCAGTTTGTTTATTTAAGTTCCAGACACGAGGTAGGGTTTAGAACCCGTGGAAGAAATAATACAATTAACAATTGGTGGGTGAATAAATTTAACGGGCCAAATTTGTGAAATTATTGTAATAAATGATAGGTTTCGTCATCAATGCCAATTTAAAGTTATACATTTGCATCGAACCATGACAAAGAATGCAGAAACACTACAAAAAGAAGGAATCACGTGGAGTGCAGATTTTTAAAAGGGAAATTTCAATGAAATTCTACTAAAAATCGGTCCAGTGCCAGATACAAGTGCATCAAGTAGACTTTTAAAGCTTAATTCTGCTGAACAGAAGTCAAAACTGCATTTAATCTAATTTTATGATCTTTGCGTGTGCCTAAAGATCTTAATAGTATTTTAGCAGATATAAATTGCGGTGGACCCCCTGGTAACCTGCTTCAATAAAGAAAGTCTGGTCACCATCATTGTCAAGTAGAAGTCCACGATTATTTCCATAACATCAGGAGTAAGAAGCGAGCAACTGCCAAAATCTTTGACGTGAGATAGGTGGAAGAACATTAAGAATATAGTAGCATAATTAGGTACAAACTCTCAGGCTTTTACGCAGGTAAACGAATTCAGCGAAGCTTGCAACCTTTCGGCATAAATAGGTTATCCAAACTCCAGTCAAAGCCGTTCAAGCCAAAATTAGCAATACATTTCCAATGAATGCATATTTTTTCCTCCATTTAAGCCAAAACAACAACAAAAGCGATGCATACAAAGGCCGTGAGTTCATAAGTGTAATTAAAAATAAAGATGTGCTTTATCAAATAAGCCATAGTCTACTAGAAATTACCTAGCATGCGCGCATATCCACTGGTCGATAACTGCCAATTCGCCAGGCACAAGGTCGGTTCGTTCAGGCGCAAACCGGTACACCGCCCAGGGACTCAGTAATTGTTTGAACAAAAGAAAATCTGCAAGAGCAAGAAGCATTGCATTTGTTGAGATTCATCACTGGTAATGAGGGCTTTGAGTGACTTTCGATGTGAATCAGACACCTTGGTAAGGGCAAGGGTCACAATTCAGACTCCAGCTAATATCCAATGTCGGCTCCATTAACGCATTCATTCGTTTGTGGGTTGCAAAAAAACAGACGAGTCCTTATTCAAAGAAGCACCGCGCTAATTGAGCTGCTTGCATTATTACTTTTTACGCTACAAGATGAGAGAAATCTAGAAAAACTAATGCAAATACCCGTGACACATTAAGTCCTTTACGTCCGAAATTAATGCAGGATTGATCATAATAATTATTACTTCATAGTGGTAGACTTAGTTTGCTCTAACAATTACACAAAGTACATTATTTAGGACAAGTAATAGTGGAATTTTTCGCTTGGATTTAGTCAGGGAAGTTGGCTTCAAAAAATGTCCAGTTACAGGTATCTTTCAGTTTATTTGCACCATAGAAATGCGAACGGCAAAACATTTCGGTCGTTACCTTAGGCGCCTCCTTGATGATATGTGTACTTTTACAGAACACCAGTGATGCACGATTGATGGTTATGCCACTTCGTTTCCTTTGACTTAAACTGAGTCCAATGAATAAGCGAATGCATGGGTAGATGTTGCGAAAACGTTAACTGTCAGTAACCTCTGAACTAGCCATTTTCTCCTTCAAAGCCAGCAAGAGTTATGAGTACTTTTACCAGTTATTGACTTGCTATGGGGCTTTTAGCGTTTTCGGAGAACAAAATGGTGTTTAAAGTGAAAAGGCGAGGTCGCATGCACTTGAGAAGTTGCGCAGGTCCATTGCAAACCGAGACCAAATCAAACTAGCGCAAACCACCATTTCAAAACGAAAGCACCGAAAACTCACCATAACTGCGTCGGAAGAATCTGCCTTTTGAGCTGGTGAATTAAAATACAAAAGACCCTAGACTGCAACATGACTACCAAGCAATGTATCTATCGAAAATTGGGTAAGGCGTGAGCCGCTGTGGCTTTGATGTCAATTGATGGACTTAATCGTGGCTAAGACGCATGCTAGCTAGAGGTTTTAATTCTGTCCTTATACTAGGGCCCTATTCCATGACAAAAATTCGCTAAACAAGGTCCTAACTGATTCCTTGGAAGCCCTCGACGTCACCGCGAATTCGAAAGTACTTCATGCAGAAATCCCAAGTAAATGGTCACTTCACAAAGAAAGTTAACCATCGTAGACGTCAACAGTTGTATCCTTTCATCCCACGCAAAATAAACCCGATTTATTACCGCTCATCATCAATTAACGGCTCCGGTGAACCCCTTTTGGTCCCCTCTGCTCACATTGAACAACCCCAACATACCTCAAAGTGAACAGAATCTGGAGCAATCGCAGGAAACCACTCCTGATGCATGATTGCTTTGTAAGCGAGCGTGCAAATTAGTCCCGAAAATGCCCGTACTATGACTTTTGCCTATTTTAAAGTATGTGGTGAGTAATCCATACGTCAAAACATTTCCACAGGTGTGAATTTAGGTTTCAACAAAAAGTCGCACGCGACTCACCCTCATTCTCAGCATCCGTAGCCAGGTAGACCGCAGACACTTGGTCATCAAGCTGGAATTTCCTTATGGCTTGCCGGGTTTGATTGACTGCTGTGTGGACCGAGGGAGACTCGGGGAAGTCACCGCGTCGCCAGTGGACAGCTGCATAGGGGCCGCCGAGCGCGGGGCTGAGGGGCCAGGGGTGATGGAGCCAGGACGGAGGCCTCAAGGTCCGATCCGGCTCGTCTTCAGAACCGAGCACGTCCTTGCGAAATGCGTCCCCAATATCGACTAAATGCTTCGCAAACACCATACTCCGTCTGACCTAAATTCGAAAATGATAGTGTCATGCATCAATTTTCACAGCCTCTTCGTGAATTTGCCAAATTTTTCTTTTAATGGGTTTGGGCGAGATACAGGCAGCACTTAAGAAGTTCTCACTGTATTTTGAATGTGAAAAGGGATAAAAAAAACCGAAAGGCTCGTGAACTGGATACAAATACTGTTCACAGAGTTTGGCGAAATCGCTTCACAGTATTTGCCACGAGGTGGACATCTACCGCACAAGCAATAAGCACTCATCAACTAACTCGCATGACACGATTCGGGTTGTGCTTTGACTTCGAGTTCACCAGGTTAATTGTGAGTCGGCCTAGAAAAGACAGGAAAATGCCAACTCGCAGACCATCAATCGCTCGCTGCTCTTTTACGCCGGTCAGTGGAAACACTGTATGGTGCACAGTGCAGAGCGCCACTCGAACGAGGAAAGTGGCCCCCTTGCATTGCGATAAGCATGCAGTAAAAGACGCGCGTCATCACCACCTCTAACTACAACTACGCTCTGTGGTCATTAGTAGATTACATATAGCAACACTTTAGGTTTTGAATGCGCAATGGCATGTTACAGACTACCAAAGTGGCTAAATGCCATACCGTCCAATACTCCTGGCTCCACTCACTCCAAACACCGTTGATGAGATTTTCTGCCGCTCCAATGTAAATGCTTCTGAAAATGACAGAAAAATAGCGTCGAAAAACCGTTGACTTTGATTAGATCGAAATATGTTAAAACGTATTACTTTGTCTCAGGGTGTTCATCAATATACCGAAAGAGGAAGCCAGCCAATTCAACCGCATGAAGAACACCATGCAGACAGTACAAATCCCTAGTTACAATTGACGAGTTTTGCATTGTTTCGTCAAAGTACACCAGCTTGTCATTGTCTGCATTCTGGACAAGAGGGTAAAGTTGAGTGCCCGAAACCGGTTTTTACACAATAAGAAGAAGACTCATTTAATTTTACCACAAACTTAAATTTAGTAGGAAAATAAGACAGGTTAAAATAAAATGTTTTATGCTTCAGTGATTCACGTACCTATAGAAACCAGTTGTGTTAAAAAATGACATGAAATTGGTAAAGAAAATAAAAAACTCCAGAGGTGCAAAATTACAACTAAGAAGCCAGACAGTGTCACTGCTTTCGCCTTGTGGGATTTTCCCAAAGGGACAATTGATTAAATCCAAGTAAGCACGCAAGCAATGTAAGAGGTCTCCACGCTTGCCTACTTCTGCACTCAGGTGGAATGCATGGGGGCTGAGCAACAAGAACTCCCCTGGTTCCGTATGGGCAGTTTTGACTTCACACTAATGAACATAAATCGAAGTGAATTACACCGCTCAAGCATCAAATCTCATCTAAGTAAACTAGACTGATTGATTGCATTCAATTCGTTTTCTTGAAAGGATTTGCAAATTAAGCATTTCTTCAGTGGAATTCGGTACACATTAGTTAAACATGATAAATTCAATCATTGCATTCCTTTTTTTCTATTTTCTGTGTTAGAAAGCACTGTTTTTATTCATGAATTTCGAATCACGACGTATGCTGTCAAGAGTTCCTAGTGCAATTCTTACCAATTTTCTTTTGCCTTGATGTATTTAGAATATGCTACAGCATGGCTACTTACGAATTATCAGTAGAATAATAGCTAGATGTAAAAATAGGTAATTTCGTTACTCAAATTAACGAGCTACTTTGGTGGTACTTACACGTACGACATTCGAAATTACATGATTTTCGCAAGTAAATTTTTCAACTCCGTCGAAGTCTGCCACCAGTTGTGGTTTTTTAAGATCAAACGCTTGAGCCACGCTTCCCGATTTGAATTGCAGTACTTGAAACGCAACATCTAACGTAGACCTCCGCGTACTAGTTTCTAAATATAATTTAAACAGCAAAAATTAACAAAAGTGCTGGGTGGGTTATCAAATACATCTACGAAGTGAGGGAAATGCCAATCTGAAGGTCCCAAAGAAAACTGTTAAAAGGACAGATTATGGGACCAAATTCAAGAGGAAGAACAGACGGGAATCAAATACTGTAAAGAATATAATGGATTAAGTAAATACCTGTTCTTTTATGTAAGGAAAATTAAAGGCGGCTCGGTTTGCTTTCCTCTATAGGTATTAAAATATATTTTATAGAAACCACAATGAACGTGGTGTGCATAGACGCAACTCCCATCAAATTAAACTGGTCACGATATCTTCATCGGAATCAAAACGGCTAAGCTTTGATTTCACCCGCAACAGCAGAATTTGATAGAAAAATGAATCGTTTGAATAGGAAATCAATTAATGATGAACATGAGGGTTTCCAACGGTGCAGAAAAGGAATAGGGATACGCATTTAGTGCGAGTCCCTTACATCGAAATTTCATAAAACAAAATGTAAGGGCGAATGGACACGCTACCAAGAAGGCAAAGCCAAAGGATTTGTTTATAAGGAACTGCTGGCAGCCACATTCAGGTTCACAAGTCCGTTGTTTTTAAGCTGCGGTTACCAGGTGAATCACCATGAGACAAAAGAAGGTTTTGTACAAGAATAGATATTTTTTTCTGCACCGTTTGCTTGCTGTTCACAGAGGGATTTAGACATCACTAGATGCCTCCCCTAACGCGACTTAAAATAGGGGCATTTTGGTGACTGTTCTGCTAATTCCTAACGTCGAGTGAACTGGCATTGGAATGTTCGCTGGTTTTGCCCCTTAGATTCTACTTCAAGACACAGTCACCTTTTATTTTCATATATTAGCGTTAACAACAACTAGACTAACAAACCCACACAAAACGTAAGTAATGCTGTTACAGGAAGTTTACAAACGGCTACGAAATTAGGGAACGGTTTTTAAGTCACACAAACATCTTGTGACGCCTCACTTATCCATTGTTACACAAACTGAACACGCAAATTACACTTTAATTATTCAATGCTAGTAAGAGACAAAAACGAAAAGATGACGAGAAACGGTGGGTTAAAAACGCTACCTTCGAAATACTTGAACATTAGGCTGAAGAAGAGTAAGGCAGTTTTCCTCTAGGTAATTTTTCGGTAAAATTGAGATTAGCAACCGTTCAATCTCCACCTTTCACCACTCCACACAACTGCTTTAGACATAGCACTCTAATGGCAACGCCCTTCACACTGGCAGATCCCGTGTTAAACCCACTTAGTCCATTGGGTCAAGGCCAGTCGAGGTATGGATAGTGCCCATTCTGATATGTCACTTGAACCTTGACTGAGACAGCGTGAGCTCTCAACAGGACGACTTGTCCCTGTTCTGCACTAGGAAGGTGGGGCATGCGTTAGACATCGGACTTGCGTGCAGGTTCTCAGGGCGCGGGTTGGGTTACGGGAAAAACACAACAAACAGATTCGAAGCCTGAAGTATTGATCAGAATTTTAATAGAACGACTGAGATTTTCATGAATATTAGTTATTGCAAACTAGTGGCGAAAACACGGTTAAACACCACATGCACTACTCTGGAAACAAAACCATTTGGGTAAGCAGATTGATATACGATTTTAACTTTAAAATACATGTGAGGAATATATCTTTAAGAGAGTACTTCCAGGTTCATAGTTCGTTCCGATAGTAAATAAATGCTACGATTTGTTAAGCTCAGTGGGGCCACGTGCACAGAGCGTCGTTGAGAGGGCAAATACTGGTTTTCCGCAAAACCTAACTTCCTACAATAATCCAGGCCAATTTAGCACTGGGCTTTACGTCGTGACCAGACCTGCTACTTACGATCAGGAATATGAGAGTGCTTTGTCATATTAATTTGATTTGAGAACTACACCCAGCCTGTGACAAATTACAAAATTCACAATACAACGGATCCTCGCTTACGTCAAGGTCATTTGGATTTGGTCCTTACTCGTGTCACCGTGTTTGCAAAATC